TATGTCAACGGAAGGAATAATATACTGAAGTATTATTTATTTTAGTAGTTTTAATGTAACTTTATGAATATGTGGGTAGATACAGGTCCCCTGTGGAGTTGTTAGCTCTAGTAGGGTTATGTGACAGTTATTTTAGGACTGGGCCCCTGTTCTGTCCCACATCAACATGGGAACGCTGCAAGATACATATTTCAATGATCTACCAGTAGCAGAAATGCACCAGCATAGGCATGAAAGAGACTGCAAGTCGTACAAATTGATGTAAACAATGTTTAGCTTTGTACATTTTGTATACGCTACATTCAATTCTGATTATTTGTGAGTTTAAAAGTAACACTTAAACTCCAATACGCGTTTGATATATAGTGGGTATCACAGACTACATTTAATGTAAACATTCATTTAGTTTATTACAAGAAAACTCCACAGGGAACATTTGTACATGTGCTTTACAGACAGGGAAAGTAGCTATCAATTTGTAAAATCTTTATCTAAGAGAAAGAAAGAGTTCAACTATAATTTGCTTGTAAAGCTGCAAATATTATGAAGCTACATTTTTCTGTAACATCTCATGAAGACAACTCTAAATATAGTTAGTTAAATACGTTCTGATTTTCAAGGGTACAGAATTTGTTTTTGCAATATGATGTACAGTACTGTACTGTAATTACATTTAGTTTCCACCATCTGTATCCCCCCAGCAATCAGGGAGGATGAATATTTCATGGCAGGGAAGGTGATAGCTGTGTCCATTGTTCATGGAGGACCAGGCCCACATTTTCTTTCAAGGGACCTGGTGAACCACATAGCTGGACAGCCTGGTTTCTGTGCACATGTGACGGATGTGACAGATGATGAGATAGGGAGGTATTGCAAGAAACTACACCAGTCATTGTCATAAATTAGTTATTTTTTTAAATGCTAAGAAGCACAGTACTTTTGTTTAAATGTACAGAAAAGCCCCTTATTCAAATGACTGTGTGCAGAAAATCTGAAATGCTCAAAAACAAATTGAGAGTATTCCCTTTTTTTAAACATTGACAGTCAACTACTTTTTACATTTTTTTTTTTCTTTTGTCAAATCAGAAGAGTGATATCTATTATAATAATTTGCCGTTATGTGGATATCTTTGATGGTGTGTGTGTTTTCCATTTAGATTGAGTTGGCACATTCTCTGAAGTCTCTGCAAGATGTGTTACTGAAACACAGCTCCATGCTTCAGACTGCTGGCTGCTTCAGGCATGTCAGCTCCATTGAAGAAAAACACACTGTAGTGGCAGAATACCTTACCTGGTACACCATCGGCAGGAATCACAGTGTAATTGAAAGGTAATGATAGGTGCTTTAATTAAAGGAATTTAATGTTGATTGAGGCCTTATTAAAACATACTTATTACCGCTGCTGCTGATGCTGCTACTTTGACTCTACTTATAATATTAAGTATTGGTCAAGTTCAGACAATGATTTGAAAATTGTTGCTGTCTAAACATTATGAAAATAAGTGTTTCATAGTAATATACAGTATCATGTTATTGTTTTCACAGTATTTAAATACTACTTAGAGATATATAACCCTTACAATTGCGTTTTACTGACTGTAACAATTCATTGTATTCTTTAACAGATTCAAAGATGGACTGGCTGGCCTACACTTTTTGGATGCCCTTTGCCAACATCCGAGTGTACTGGCTCCAGTGCTGTGTCATACGGACAAGAGGCTGACTTCAGTTGAAGTAGAATGACTCTTCTTACCACAGCTCAGTCCAGCAGGGAGCAACAGGAGGACTACAGAAACCGTGGCACTCAGCTTCTGGGCAGACTATCTGATGGACTGTGAAGGTTTGTGCAGTAAAATACTGTTCTGATCAGAATAGGATCTGCTGTTATTACATGAATGTTAATATATTTAATGACAGCTCTTTGTTTCACAGAACAAGGACCAGTGTCACTGGAGGAATTATTCATGTTCACAGGCCTGAAGACACTGCAGGAATGACACCCCATCCATGTGTCACGTTTTCACAGGAGACTATCTATCTATCCCATGGCAAACACCTGTGCAAACACCATAACACTTCCACTACTAGAAACTTACGCTCGTTTCAAAGCCAATATGGACTTTGGCATCCAAAACTCCCCAGGTTTTGGATATCTGTGAAATGGTAAAAGAAAGGGGTAAAACACCATCACCAGTATAGCTTTTTGGAGTTTTATAAACTTGAGTTCCTCATGTTTGAAGTTTGGGGAAAAATATGTTTCATACATCGGTTTCACAGTTTTCTTTAGACGTCTATAAAGACAACGTTATTAGTTGTGCTAATATGTTTAAGGAACACAATACTGTTTTGCAGCGTTTTCACAAGAATAATTAACATTTATTTTCTTAAATGCAAATAAATCACTGTTTCCCAAATCCTCAAATGTCTTGTGCCAACTCTGTTAGGGCTCACGGCTGCCCAACTGAAGGTACTGTCCCATTCACAGCCCAGCTATTCCCTGCAGTGTAATCAACAGCTGGGAGGCTGCTTGCCAGGTTTCTGGATGTTGAAGTCCATGTTGTTGCATTGCCTGCTGATAATAGTCATTGATGTCCGGATCACCACATGGATCTTCTGTCTGATGCCCCCGAAAAATTGTGGCTTATATAAACAAGCCTATTTTAAACTCCTTTTATTTGTTTTTAAAGCACTAAATGGGCTGGCTCCGGCCTATATAGCTGAACTCCTCCAGCGCTACACCCCAACAAGAGCTTTAAGGTCTGCTGACCAGCTGTTGCTGATAGTGCTGGCCCGAGGCTCTAGAACACTCTGCCCCTCCATGTGAGGTCGGCCCAGACCCTAGGGGTTTTTAAATCTACTCTTAAGACACACTTCTTCTCCCTGGCCTTTTAGTCAGAGCGGAGCACGACACCTGACTTTTCCCTGTGTTTTCTTTTTAAATATCTGTTGTAATTTATTGTTTTTTATTGTGATTATAGAAATGTGTTTTTATGTGATTGTGGTTATTACATGTACAGCACTTTGGCCCGACCAAAAATCGCTTTTAAATGTGCTCTATAAATAAACCTTGATTTGATTTGATTTGATTTGATTTGATACCAGCGAGTCGTTTCCCATCAAGCATTTCGCTTCCGCAGCCCGTGGAGAGAAACTGCGCCGCCTCGCCGCGCCTCGCTCTCAAGTTTGCGGGCGTCTTTGTCCCGCGAGATTTCAACGTCTCATGTAGGCGAGCCTCCAGAGCAAGTCGGACAAAATGACTAACCATCATGCAACGCACTAGCAAGACGTTGATCGCAATTGTGCAGGTCTGCGCAGGTCTCGCTTTTCTCAAACAAGCCTAATCATAGCCTGTTAAGACTTCACAGAGGCGGTATAGAGAGGCGAAGTCCCTCCCTTTCCGGGGGAGCTCCATGGGACCTTATTTCGGAAAAAGTATGTATTGAAGTCAATGGGGAGAGAAAGATTATCTTTCGATCCCGTTTGAATTGAGCCACAAATTACACATATTATGTTTGTCAATTTAAAAGATAATTTTGCAAGTCAAAAAAATAAAAATGTGTCGTAAAACTGTGAAGTAACACTTTCTTTTGTGTGAAACCGCTCAATGAACTACATCTCCCATCTCGCACCACACACCAAGACGGCTGTCACGTTGGCACATTTCACCTCTTTCTTTTAGAATGAGGCGAAATGTATTAAAAGAGGTGAAAACCGCTACAAGTCTGGGCATGTTGAGAGCTGTACATACACACAAGGGGAGTTAGTCGGTTCCGTAAGAGCCAGCATGCAGGACCGGGATTCTGGGATTTGTAGTCTTTCTAGTTGCGTATTTTTCATAGTCTTATATTTCAACAGTTTTACGACAAACTGTGACTTTTTTGACATGGAAATTATTTGTTAAGATTGACAAACATCATATGTGTAATTCGTGGCACAATTCAAACGGGATCGAAAGATAATCTTTCTCTCCCCATTGACTTCAATACATATTTTTTCCGAAATAAGGTCCCATGGGTCGGAAGTAGATGGGCGTGACTTCGCCTCTCTTCAGTTCTGCTGGGTGCCTGCACATGAGGGGGTGAAAGGGAACGAGTGTGCTGATAAATTAGCAAAAAGTGCACTACAAAAGGAAATAACATTACCAGTTCAACTTGGAAAAGGAGAAGGACAAGCAGTAATTTAGAAAAAAGGGATGGAGATCTGGCAGAAAAGGTGGGAGAAAGACCAAAAAGGCAAAGAGTATCACAAAGTTCAAAAGACAATTACAATTAATATTTATAAAGAAAGAAACAGAAGGGAGGAAATCATGATAGCTAGACTCAGAATAAATCACACAGCATTGAATGGTACGCTGTATGTCATGGGGAAACGGGACAGTGACAAGTGTAGGAACTGTGGAGTTAGGGAAAATGTAGAACATATCTTGTTACATTGTGACATCTATAAAGCTGAAAGAGAAAAACTAAAGGCTAAAGTTATAGAGGCAGAGAGGGAGTGGAGTGTGGTTGGTATTTTGGGAACAAAAGGAGAGGGAGTAAGAGCTACCAGAAAAGTACTGTTTACCTTTCTGAGTGAAACTGGGATAAGAAAAATAATGTAACATTAGGTCAGGAAAGATCATAGATTTTTATTTTGTTTTGTTTTATTTATTTTATGTTTTTTGTTGATTTATTTATTTTTTGATTAGATCATAGATACGTCCATGAGTTAAGAGATGGAATGATATGATGATTCACACTCATGTACAGTAGGTGGCGGTATGCACCTTTAAAGTGGTTTGCAATCCGCCAAAAACCGAGAGAAGAAAAAGAAGAAGAAGAAGAAGCTCTTTCTAACCTGGATCCATGTGGCGTCTCGTCGCTACGGTTCTCTCTCTCTCTGTGTGTTCCTGAGAAAGTGTGTGTGAGCTCCAGCACTACTGATCCATCATCTGTGTGTCTGGATAAACCTCCGAATGGACTCTGTGCTCTTTTTTCTGGAGCGTTTACCTCGGACTATAGGAGCTAGTTTAGCATGCTAGCTGGAAACACGTTAGCAACACTAGTCAGATTGAGAGTTTGATGGAGAGAGAAACGGTGTGTTTAACGGAGTTAGCAGGAAAAGGTGATATAGTAAACATGAGTAGAGTCCAAATGCTGCTGTCGATGAAGAAGCAGCGACTCACTGCTGCTGCTGAAGATATATTTGCTCTGTTTGAAAAAACGATAGCAGAGCTCGAGGAGGAGCTGTCTCGTTCAAAAGAGGAGAACGAGAGAATCCAGAAACTACTGGACGCTGTTTTACAGCCTCAGCTTCGGATACACAGAGCAGGTCTGTTACCTTTACTCTTAATTAACACTTTAAACCAGGGGTGTCCAAACTACGGCCCGGGGGCCAAATGCGGCCCATTTTGAATCGGCACTCAGCTAATTCAAAAAAGTATGATGAAATATGGCCCACAAATGAAACTTGTGCTTTTCTTATATTGTACTTCTTAAATATATATATGTACAAATATATTACACAGTAGTAATCATGTGTTAATAAGCCCACTTTTAAAATAAATTCAGTCAATTCATGTTGATAACATTTTCTAACAAATCTTAGGCGTTGTGCACAGGGGAACGTTTGCGTTTATGCACAGTATGCGCTTTCAAAAAAGTCTTCCGTTCACATGCATTCATTTCATTTAATGTGTCTGTTCAAACGAGACCGCTGGAAACGCTGTAGTACATATGCCAGGACTGTAAGTGGCGCTGTAACTTCCGCCAAAATACACCAAAAGCAGCGAAGAAGACCACGGAGCAGCCCCGCAGCAATGTTGCCATGGCTACCCTTCTGTTTACGCCCCGCGGTGGATTTAGCATCATGTAGTAGTTAATGTAATTCTCCATGTCCACTTGTTGCTGATGGTTGTGGTAGAGGAGCTGTAGATTTTGCACTAACATCTGTAGCATGGTCGAGCTGTAGAGGTTGTACTAACATCTGTAGCATGGTCAGTAGCAGTAGCACTAGCAGTAGCTACTGACAGTAGCTACTGACAGTAGCTACTGGCCATGCTACAGCAGTGAGCAGGAGAGGTGGGGCTATCGTTATTTTGTGTGTGGCGATTGCTGGTATTCAGCGGGATATAGTAATTTCCTCAGCATGTAAATATATGGATAAATGCAACGGGGAAGTTAACTGAAAGAAACCGAATCTGTGGATATTGCATCGACCGACCAAGAAGCACGTCTCCGTGGAGAGGACGCGCTCAGAAAGAGAGATATTCTCTACAAACACCGGGTGAGATCGCTCCTCTGGGACACGCCGGTCCTGTGTTTCCTTTTTTTGTGTGGATTATAGCCTGAATAGGCCTACAAACATTTCTCTTTTTGCCGCCGACGGGCGCAGGAGCAATGAACAATAATGGCCTGGATTAGGCATTAAAGACAATTTTGGTGTATCGCAGAGCGGACTGTTTAATTTTGTTTGTGTTGTTTGGCTGGAAAATTGTCAATATAATGGATCAATGCATGAAATCTGACTCTGTTTATTTTGTTTAAGGAGTATATTGGGCGTTAACAATTCTGGTTTGCCTTTTATAATATTATTTCATTCAAGAACCCCTTGTGCGTTTAATTAACACAGCTATTTTTGATAGTTGATCGTTACAGATGGCTACTGGCCATGCTACAGCAGTGAGCAGCAGAGGTGGGGAGAGGTGGGGCTATCATTATTTTTTCAGGAAATATTCGTATAGAGGCGATTACACGGACTCGTTTGACCCCCCAGAGAGTTTCGTTTGCAAATCTATCCACCTTGGGACCCGTTAACGTTTGTGGGGTCCGTTACTATCGGCCTTGTGTAAATAATAGGGCTATACGCACGCGAAACTATGCAGATACAAGCCGTTTTGTCCTCGAGTAAACGGCGCCTTAGTTGATACAAAAAAGCCTAATAACTTATTTACATAACAAGCTTGAAATAGACCCTATGTCATCTTATTATAATCACTCTGAGACTTCTGTTTTTAAGGGATGAGCTGCCAACAAGATAAATGAAACCCTATAGAGAGCTGTGATGTAGGCGTTTTTTTTTCTTAAAGCATATTCATGTATCGAGCCTAATTTACCTATATTTTGCTAACTTATAACTTAACTGATGAGGCGATATACCTCACCTTTATGAGTGGCCCAGCCCTTCGTAATTTTTTCTGGATGTGGCCCTCGGTGAAGCTCGAGATCACTAGAATTTGAAAATACACAACCGGAGAAAATCTGCCACTTCCTTATAGAGCCCCTCCTCCAACACACACGAACGCGCACATGACCAATGAGGGCACGAGATAAGTTTGTGCACAGATGGAAGGCTGACAGGCAGGTAGGCTGTTACGTGCTCCCTTTTCTGTTGTCTTCTCTGTCTCTCTGCTGCGCAGGTACACCTGGTCCGCCCCTGGCTCCGCCTCCCCCAGGTGTCCTAATTCCATTCAGCTGTGGACTTAAAAGGAGAAGCTGGAGGAGAAGAGCTCTCTCTCCTGATCCTTATGCCGGAAGACTCCGTCCGAGGACAATCTCTCTCTGCTGTTTGGATCTGTAGATCCCTTGTGTTAATGTGGCAATATGTGTACTCTGGAGGATCTGGTAGTATAGGTTTTCGCGGCTTTATTTTACCCGTAGGGTTTTGTTAGATCTCTGGGTAGGGGAGGGAAGCTCTGGGTCCTACGGCCCGTGGTGTGGCTGGTCCAGGCCCCCTTCTTCTTTTTGTTTGTTTTGCCAGTCCTCCACACCTTGGTCATTTGCCGGTTGGCCCATGTGAGTAACGGCTGTGCTTTAAAATAAATAATCGCCGTTAAGTGCTGCGTGTTTGGTGTGTTTTTATTTGATGTTGCGGGTCTCCCCACGAGCCACTACCACTGAGTAGAGGGCGGGTCGTAACATAGGCCATCCAGTTATTTTAGCCGGGCCGGCTAAAATGATTGGTCTTACTTTTTACAGTATTACGGCTTCCACAGATGACTTTTTTTTTGGTGGGGTGGTGCGTGTGTGTGTGTGTGCATGGTAGAGCGAGCGAGAGTGTTTTGAAGCGAACGAAGCAGCAGCAAAATAGGTCTGTTGAGTGTCTTCAAAGTTAGATCTGTAACAAAGACCTTAATAAGTGCAACGGGCTCCCAAAGAAGAGCTTGCCTGTCTGCCTTATTGAAAAGTGGGTTATTGAACCCAAAGTTTGTTGCTTCGGCCCTGGTAGACTGCAGAGAGTCATCCCTTGTTTTCATCGACTACGGTCTGGGAGCCAACAGGAAAGTTTAACACAAAAATACGTATGAACTAAAATAGCAGCATCATCTCAAACAACAAACACAGTCTCTTAGAGGAGCTGACATCGGCTGCAGGGAGTGGAGGCAGAGCGCTGAACACACACAGGAAATACGGCTCTTATTAAAACAATGTCATTCTTAAAGTACCGATACTAATGAAATGGAGGAATCATAACGTTTTTAACGGCAGGGTATAGCGATACCTTTCTAGTATCTGTGCACCGTGCAACACTAGTCCCCGCCACTTATTTTCTGTTTTGGTTCATGTGAGCACTGCAGCAGTCTAAGACCCACATCTCTAAACCAAAACAAAAAGAACAGGGGTGCAAACGAGCAGATCCAAGATTTGGCTCCTATGACGTCATTGGTGAAATTTGGCACACGTGACACGTCCCAACCTATCGTCTCCGGCACACGTGACACGTCCCAACCAGGGTTTCCGCTACAATTTATTCTTGCCGGACAAATTCGAAAGTTAGCGGTCATGTTTCAATAATAATAATAATAATAATAATAATAATAATACGAAGAATTGTGTAGCAGAGTTTCCGTTAGCAGGTAATTACCGGACTATGACCGGATATGCTGATGTTTAAAACTCAGTTAATGAGGCTCATTTTTATATTGCTTCAGTTTATAATCGTAACAGATCGAAAAGTTCAGATTTAATTTTTCAAAAAATGATACGCTTCCCCAAACAACAAACAACATAATTATTACATTCAAACAAACTACTTTTAGTAGATGAAGTACATTATTCAAAAGTTTACATTATCTTTGAATAATAACACGGGAGAAAAGGAGCCTCTCTTTTCCTCTCTCCCTCCCTCTCTCTCTCCTGACAGCACGTCAGTATCAGACTCATGGATCTCGCTAAACAGCGGGCGGGGTTTCAGGTGATCATGTAGAGCTGCATGTCTCCGTCAAACTCAGCAGCTGATCGGATCTCTGATCTCTCTTTCTCGTCCGGTTATACTTCACTCGCGTTTATGTCCATATCGATCAAATCCAGCACTACTGATTGGCCTTTATAGAGAGCACCAATCAAACTATTAAGAGTGAATATCGGCCGTTAATGATCGGCGGCTAATCAATCGGAGCATCCCTAATTATTACCGCACATTGTGACCGTCAGGTTTTGAATTTACCGTTTTTTAATACATTTGACCTGCTAAAAACTGGTAATTACCGGCTAATGGAAACCCTGGTCCCAACCTATCGTCTCCTTATACATTCGTCTAGCTGAATCCCCTCTCGCAGCTGTGTGTCTGTGTATTCAGCAGGATGTCTGCAGGAGGCACTTAGAGTAAAAAGTTGATATATATATATATATATATATATATATATATATATATATATATATATATATATATATATATATATATATATATATATATATATATAAAATACATATAATGGCACTGTTCTAGCGGTAAATACTTAAGAAAGAACATGTCAAGCTATGTGCTGTATCAGAAACAATGCGTGGCGTGTTTTGGGAGTAATGTGGTCTGTGTTTACATTAGCAAGCATCGCTAACACTCAGAGCTAACGCTGTACTGGAGAGAATATGTGTAACATAATGTCCTTGCGGTAAACCCTGCGAGAGAGAAACGTTTGAGCTTCATACTGTTTCAGAAATAATGCTTGAAGTGGTTTGGAGCATAATATGGCATTTAATCACAGCAGCGTTTAGCTGAGTTTCTCCCAGTAGAAAACTCTCTTAGCAGGGGAAAGCTGCGTGACGCTACAAAGGGGCGTGGCTAGCAGCAGCTGTTCCATTTAAAGCAGAATCAGCCTTTTTGGAACAGGGCTGGAATAGAGGGGTATGAGTAGTAGTAGTATGAGGCATGGCTACAATGGTTGATCTGTTTGGTATTTTAAGCAAAAAACTTCACAGACAAGTTTTGTATAGGTATGGCCCTACAATATATTTTTCAAATATAGCATAATATGTCCACTTTAAAGGGGACCTATCATGCAAAATGCACTTTTGTACGTCTTTTATACATGAATATGTGTGCCCGGTGTTCCAGGGAACTCACCAAGTGTCAGAAAACACAACCCTCTCTATTTTCCTCCATACCCAAATCTCTAAAAAAGGGGCTGCAACGGATCTGATAAAAACTGATCCAGATTTGAACACTTTACTGACGTCAGTAAAGTGGCGCTACGGCTATTGGGCCAACTCTCCACCTATCAGGGGAATGTGGGGTTGGGCCACAGCCGGCCATTGCCGCTCGAAAGCGCTGGAGACGCTGTAGTACATATGCCAGGCCTGTAAGTGACGCTGTAGTCTGCCACAAAAGCAGCGAAGAAGACTTCCCGCGCATGGTTACCATGGTTACCATTCTGTTTATTCTCCGCTGTGGCTTTTTTTCTCCCTCCCCGAGGCAAGCGTTTGCTCCCGCTGCTGTAATTCAATGCAATCCCTCCCCGTCGAGGCAAGCACTGTAATTCTCTCCGGTTAGTCCACCAGGAGATGACAAACACCCACCTCTCCGCCTCTTCCAAGGAACAAGGGGACCGTGCGGCAGAGTTTCAGTTAGGTTTTCTTTCGCCGGTCAAGATGTCCGTTAAAGTTTAAATCTTCCGGACAAAATTAGAAAAGTGCCGGTCAAAGGTCTTCTTTGTTATCTATTGAGCTTTAAAACAAATGAATAACGACTCTGTAGGCCTATAATAATATAATAAAACACAGAGCACGGAGATCTATTTTTCTCCCCCGCTTGACTTGATCAGAGCACAGTTCCCTTCTCCTGCAGGGGGGCGTGGTCAGCTGCAGCTCACAGAATCAGCCCCGTGCAAAAACAGTGCTGGAGAACAGCAAATAGAGCGAAATGAGACATTGCTAAAATGCATGATCTGTTTGGTATTTTGAAAACAGAAACGTATAAATATACCTTATATAGGTATGGCCCTACAATATATCATTTAAATATAGCATGATAGGTGTCCTTTTAAATAAGGTTGAAATGCAGGATTTTTATTTGTAACAGAGTATTACCATTCTATAGGCGTAGTGTAGCTGTGAACGATCCCAAATACAATTCATTGTTTACATTGTGGCAAAAATACACAATAGGCGGGACTAAGAAAGATAATATGAAAGTATGAAAACAAAGGCATCAATTAGGGCTGCAAAATGTCTCCCATTTGAATGATGATTCGATTTTTTAAATGCTAACACTTAACAGTTTTTTCTGACTGTGTGTTTCCTGCAGACGTCCAGCTGCTGGTGGTGGTTAAAGAAGAGCTTCTCCCTGACCAGCAGGAGTGGAGCACCAGTCTGGACCAGGAGGACCCAGAGTCCCTCCCATACATTAAGCAAGAACAGGAGGAACTCGGGATCAGTCAGGAGGGAGAGCAGCTTCAAGAGCTGGAGGAGGCTGATATCACCAAGTCCACTTTCAATCCTGACCCTGTGAAGAGTGAAGATGATAAAGAGAAACCTCAGTCCTCACAGCCTCATCAAAGACAAACTGAACACATGGAAACAGAAGCAGATGGAGATGACTGTCGAGGACCAAAACCTGCCAGGAACTCAGATCCAGAAAGCAGTTTACAACCAAAGACTGAGGACGAGAGTGGAGACTCTTCTGAACGTGACACTGAAGACAGTGCTGATTGGAAGGAGACCAGAGAACCTGCGTCAGACTCAACCTCACTGAAAAATAGACAAGAATCTGTCAGTGATTCAAGCCGTAGTGCTGTAAAGAAACAATTTGGCTGCTCTGTGTGTACGAAATCTTTTACATATAGAAGCAATTTTCAGCGACACATGAGAATCCACACAGGAGAGAAACCCTTTTGCTGCTCAGTTTGTACCAAATCTTTTGCATTGAGTGAAACTTTAAAAAGACACATGAGAAGCCACACAGGAGAGAAACCCTTTAGCTGCTCAGTTTGTACCAAATCTTTTGCATTGAGTGTAAGTTTTAAGGAGCACATGAGAGTCCACACAGGAGAGAAACCATTCAGCTGCTCAGTCTGTAACAAATATTTTGCAATGAAAAGAAATTTAAGTCGACACATGAGAATCCACACAGGAGAGAAACCCTTTAGCTGCTCAGTCTGTAAGAAAGCTTTTTCACAGAGTGGAAGTTTAAAGGACCACTTGAGAGTCCACACAGGAGAGGAAACCTCTAGCTGCTTAGTCTGTAAGAAACCTTTTTCACAGAGTGGACATTTAAAGGAACACATGAGAATCCACACAGGAGAGAAACCCTTTAGCTGCTCAGTCTGTAAGAAAGCTTTTTCACAGAATAGAAATTTAAAGACACACATGAGAGTCCACACAGGAGAGAAACCATACAGCTGCTCAGTCTGTAAGAAAGCTTTTTCAGAGAATAGAAATTTAAAGGACCACATGAGAATCCACACAGGACTGAAACCACACAGCTGCTCAGTCTGTAAGAAAGCTTTTTCAGAGAGTGGAGGTTTAAAAAAACACATGAGAGTCCACACAGGAGAGGAAATATACAGCTGCAATGTTTGTGACAAAAGATTTAAATGGTGTACTGATTTCAAAAGACACAAGTGTGTTGGTCGTCAGTCCTCACTGCTTAATGAAATTCAGACTGAGGATAACAGAGAGGCAGAGCCTCCAATCAGCAGCTCAGCTGAACACATGGAAACAGAAGCTGATGGAGATACAATGAATATGTCTTATGACAGTTCACTTCACACATGAGAAAATTCTGTCTGACTGGATTAACATTGTTGCACAATATTCCAACACAGTCTCACTCCCTGATAGTCCAATAGCGACGCTTGGTCAGGGTCCTTTGGCGTGCAGTTGTGACGCACCGAGTCTCCTTCAGCTTCATAAACGGACACAAAGAGCTTTCAACTGATTGCAATGAATTCCCATCGGCGGCGGTATTTGACGCTCAGGGAAGCACCACATCGGTCCATGTCGGCGGCAGTTAAAGGCAACGTGAGCGTCCATTCCCATTGGATAACGCAGAATTTTACTCCCGGAAATAAGTATTCTCCTTACTGTCGATTGATTTTACAGATTTATTCACTACTCATCAACTCAAAAACACCAGATTATCCTTGTTAATTACACAACATTGATTGGTTTAAATTGTGTACAATGGTTTTGTGTTTTTCCCCTTCGACTCTGAGAAACAAATAGTTGTTTAGGATGGCCGAAGATACTACACTACCCATAATCCTCAGCTATCGTTTGAGACTTTTTTGGAAAACTATGAGAATGAAGAGAGTTGATTGAAGATGAGAAATTATTGTATATGTATGTATAAATGTAAATGTACGTAGGAATAACTTGCATAATGATTTAAAGGACAATCATTGATCAAGTAAGGGGTGGGAATTAATAAGCATTTGCTTCCTCCTACTCCCTTTCGGACACATGATTTATTATTATTATTAACCTGTTAACCCCGAGAGACCCCGGTACCGGGGCACTGCCGCAATATCTTGCAGGAAACAGTGCCTGAGGGCATGTTCATTTAATAAACTATGAATGTTTTATATCCATGTAACGGGAAGAAACTCATCAAACTGATCTTTTTTTTTTTTTTTTAAATAAAACCCACAATGCTAACACTGAGCCTCTGAATTAGCAACGAGCGAAAAATGCTAACACCTTACTGCACCGAAAATCACTCACAAAACCTTATTATGTATCTCTTCTCTCCATCCATGACATCGTTTCACATCGTGAGGTGACACAGAATCGTTGGACACCCACATTATCACTGAATTATACGAAATGGCGACATTATAAGCAAAAACGGACATCAAAACAGGTGACGCTAGGTAGCTAAAAATGCTAACATTTTTACCTTGGCTCTGTAGTCTCTCCAAAGTGGTCTTCAATGGCATTACAACGATAAAAACGCTGCTGAAGTTAATCCATAGGTTAATCCAATGTGTCTGTGTCCTCTTTGAAATGATTTCTGATAATCCATAAGCATTAAAACTGCTTTTCCGTCTCCAGATGTCAAAGCTAGAGATAGGTTCACTCTGATGCAACATTACATGCGCGAAGCCCCCACCATTTCTCTTCACAATGAGTGTGTGTGGGGGACTCCCCCTTCGATTCTATTGGCTCTAAAGGTCAGAAAGAGGTGTCAACCATCAAAATCGACCAAGGGCGGCCAGAGATATGGAAAATCCACCCAAATGACCCCAGAAGTGGGTTTTCTTTGCTACATCTCTCTAAAAAGGTCAAATGTCACTTGTTTTGCATCAATCTTGATACAGGGTACTTATTATATGTTGTACTTTGGATTCCTAAAGCTTTTAGTCTACTAACCCATCATCCAAGGGTAGTTTTCACTATAAGTAAAAAATAATTTTTGGACGGACACTATAATTTACCGTTTTTTACTATGTAAAATCTGAATTTTCTTTAAAATAAAAAACATCTATATTGATTCTGACTTTTCTACATCCAACTCACAGGTTTATCATTACTTTGAGAATAAAGATTATTCATGTAACCCTTTTAGAAGGGAAGATATGGTCATTTGTTTGTTCATTTGTTTGTTCAAGACTTTTTGTTTTTTGCTGAATATATAAATATTATCATTTTATTTTATTTGTTATATTTTTAATCTATTCGAAATAAAGATTGAAATGAAATGAGACTACACCATGCGCTTTGCTCAACAAACCCCGTGATTAGTCCTCAAGCTCTGTGATTGGTTGACCTCCGACTGTATTCCATATGAAAAAAAAAGTTTCGTAAGATGAAATCATACTTTATTCAGCTAGTGCTTACTTTACTCTTTGAAAGTCATCACATAAATGCATTGTAATAAATGGTTTTGCTGCATTCAATATTACTCATCTGGCTTAGTTATTTATTTATCTACAGAGATCGGGCCTCAGAATAGACCGGAAACTATTCTTTTACTGTTCTGTTTTAATTTCACAATAAGGTTAATAGTAATATTTTATTTGATATTATAATTTTGTATTAACTAGGCAGCTGGGTCATGTTAAGACCATCTTGTCTGTGTTGCGGTGGGTTTTTCCATCGCTTTTGTGTTACAAATATCAAAACAATATGTGTGGTCTGTGAATAACAAAATATATCCGTCATAAACTAAACCGGAAACAGCAGTATATTTTATTGTGTTAATACTGTAAACTTGACAGCTTTTTAACCCAAACCACCTACTGGTTAAAGCACGTTATTACATGTTTAGAGTAATTGCAATGCAGGTAGATTGTGTTGCTTTTTAATTACTGTTTTTAAATGCCTTTTTATTAATGTCTTTCATTTTTTTAAAGCACTTTGAATTGCCTTGTGTTGAAAGGTGCTATATAAATAAACTTGCCTTGCCTTGCCTAAGGTCTGCTGCATGTTTTGTTGAATGTGTTATATTTGATGAAAACATTTAAATATTAAGAGTACATACAAATTAGGGGGAAAGTAGAAGGTCAATGATAGAAATATAGAATAGAAAATATCAAGAAGATACTGTAAATGATCTCTACAATAAAACAGTTTAGTGCCGGATGTACAAAGATATTAATAGGAGGATGTGCAAAACAGACAAACTAAGTAGGCTTTATTAAAACATTAAATGATACTTTAGGTTAAGGTCTTCTTTTAAATACATGTAAGCAAAAAGCTTTGGGGGTATCTACAGATAAATATTAAGCCTGACAAAGTATACTTAAAGTCTAATATATTTCATGGTTTGTTTTGGGACTTGACTATCAACTTTCCTGCAATGTTAACTATGTTGAAGCACTTATTTTAACCGATATTATACATATTTATTATACTCTTACAAGATGTATGTAGATAGAATAAGAAATGTGCAGAATATGACAGTTTAATGGTGGAGGTACACACATATTGATAGATGTCTTGTAATGCACTGTTGAGGAACCTGCAACCCAAGTTTTTCATTCATTGCATAACTACACCGTAGTTGTGTATATGATATGTCAAACCTTTGAAAATCTTGAAATCTTGAAAGGGATGTGCAAAATAGCCATTATATACACTTTTTAATGAACGATTAGAGAATAACGAGTAATGAATATGCTTTATAGGGATCTGCAGATACATCTTTTGTCTTTTCAAGCACCAAATATCTCGCCTGATTGTTGGCACTTGACAATCACCTTCACTGAATTTGACTCAGGTGTAACTAAAGTCTGATTTAAGGGTTGTTTATATTTCACATCATTAATACAAATCTGTAAAGTAACTCAAATAAATGTAGTGGAGTAAAAATACCAGGTTAACCTTAAAGGTCCCATGACATGGCCATTTCTACTGATGATAATTCCATTGTTGAGGTCTACTAGAATAGATTTATATTCTCTACAATAAAACAGTTTAGTGCAGGACGTCCAAAGATATTAACAGGAGGATGTGCAAAACAGACAAACTAATTAGGCTTTATTTAAACATTAAAGAATACTTTAGGTTAAGGTCTTCTTTTGAATAAGAAAAAAGCTTTGGGGGTATCTACAGATAAATATTAAGCCTGACAAAGTACTTAATGTCTAATATATTGCATAATTTATTTTGGGACTTGACAATCAACTTTCCTGCAATGTTAATTTAACTGGTATTATACATATGTATTAAACTCTTATGAGATGTATGTAGATAGAATAAGAAATGTGCAGAATATGACGGTGGTGGAGGTACACACATATCGATAGATGTCTTGTAATGCACTGTTGAGGAACCTGCGACCCAAGTTTTTCATCTCTGACCTTGTCAGGTATTGAACATTCAATAAATAAAGAACACAGAATTATTCAATATAAAACACAGAATTTGTGTGATTATACTAAATGATTTACAAATAAACACCACTGCATATTTACAACTGTTACACATGCTGCTGGAACGAAAACATTTCCAACTTGGGATCAATAAAGTATATCTTATCTTAAGACGATCAATGGCTACTGCCATATTTGCAAAATGTGCCTCTGAACCTTGACAAGTGCATGTTTCAGGCTTATCAATTAACAACAGGAGGGGTCACAGACATAAGACTAGCTGTTAAATAAAGCTCTTCTGACCTTAGCTGTCATGTGGGTATATATTAATGCTGCCCATTATGGACACAAGCAATTTTCACCCATTTATTAATTATATGTTTTAAATTTGAGTGTTTCCTATCCCCTAAACCTCCAGGGATGTACACAGTAATACTGGCAACTTCTTATTATGGGAAATACGAAAACGTCTTTTAAAACTACAATTCCCAGTAGAAACGTGCCATAGAACATGTTGCGAAACACACAATAGCCAGCATGTGTAGTTCTGGGGACGGGGTGGAGGAGGGGGGGACGGGGTGCGTTCAAATCCAGTTTTGGACAGTCTGACGTGGTTCCATCCCATTTCAAAGTGCTGTTTGACGCTCGGCGTAACCCTCGGCGCACACTCAAACATCCAATCACAGAGCTTGAGGACTAATCACGGGGTTTGTCAAGCAAAGCGGAGAGAATACTTACTTCCGGGTGTAAAATTCTCTAAAGCAACTACTATGAGCTGCTCCGACCCTCGGTCCTGACGGACTCCAACTTGTGTTTATTAATCAAACAAATAAATAAACACAAGGATAATTGTGTCTTATTGTTGAGTAAATAACAGTGTGTAGTTTAGAAAAGAATACAAAATTAGAAGGAAAAAACGATGAAACAATACAGATTGCAGTATTCTGAGCCCCGTACTCTCCCCCTAACTGACAGCAACAAAAGCTCGAATTTATTCAATTAAAATAAAGAAGTAAAAACAATAAGTGTGGCTTGATATTGAGTAAGAAAAAGGTTGATAAACGCTGTGAGAATGGATCTGCAGAG